GAGGAAAGGATATAGAGAAAGACGGCGATCAGGATCATGGCATCAGAAGATGTCGATTGATTTTACACTTGAATATTTGAAGATTATAGCTATCAGGGAAGTTCTGATTCCAATGCCGAATATGAGAGATTTTTATGAAATATATAGAAAAACCTATTACAAATCCCAGTGTTAATTTTAGTTTATATGCTTCTTTTTTTTTTTTACTTGTTTTCATAAGTACTTTTTGTGGTGGTGGGGGGAGGGGGGCAACATTAAATGCACGGACGAATGATAGTTTTACAAAGGTGCACGATGGATTCTGGCGAGAGAAAAATTCTGGTTCGACATAACTGACAAACTTCCCTTTCAATTGATTCGATATAATCAGTCCACTTAATGTCTGTGGAAAACTTGAGGCCAAGAAGGCTTTATGCTCTCCTGAAGTTTAGAATAAGGTATGCAGATGTCAGGCAGAAAATGTTCTCTGTGGGGATTAAATAAAAACAGTTTTGTTTTAGAGGCGTCAAAATTTACAAGTCAGTTCTTGCTCCAGTTAACCAGTGATCGGAGGTCCCTATTAAGAACAGTTGTCGGATTTGCTACTAAGGCAAAAGTAAATGGTTGCATTATCTGGGAACTGACAACATCGGGTAGAGATTATTGATGAAGATCAGAAACAGAGTAGGTTTAAGGAGAGAGTCATAAGGCACCAAACCGTTTGTATGAAATGATCTGAAATTATGCCACTTCGACACGACCTTCATTGGATTAGGCCCAATGTTGGTCACTTCAAAATATCTAGAGCCACAGCCTAACGCTTGATAGACAAATACAATGATGGCCGTTTATCAAAATCATGTTATTTTTTTAAAAAAAGTATGATCTATCTATCTATCTATCTATCTATCTATCTATCTATCTATCTATCTCTCTTTCTCTCTCTCTCTCTCTATATATATATATATATATATATATATATATAATGTAAATCTACATAAATTCGGTGTGTGAAAAAACCTGCATATCACAATTTTCAAATAAAGGAAAAAACGGAAAACAAAGAAAGCACCAAGAACCTCTAAACAGAGCGTAAAAAATCGTCCGGTATCTTAAATCTCTGATACAAAGAATATATATATATATATAAGTGAACATTGAAGTCAATACTCAGAGGCGTCAGGCTGCTTCATGCGTCTAGCATGAAACAGCCTCTCGCCTCTGAGTGTTGATTTCAATGTTCACTTTTATATTTATATTTACAGACGCTCTATCTCTGATATTGAGCACTTTATCCCATAAATATAGCACACATTAAAACTATATTTCTTTTTATATATATATGTGTGTGTGGGTGTGTAATGTATGTGTATGTGTGCGTGCATGACACATACATAGTTTTAAGGAGCTAGTGTCCATACATACATATATATATATATATATATATATATATATATATATATATATATATGTGTGTGTGTGTGTAAATTTCTAAAGACATAATGACCGCCTTTAATAATCCGACATATTTTTATCACTTTAACCGTTATTTTTTTAATGGATATTATTTGAGTATTATATTTTAGTCTACCAGCTTGAATATTTGAGAGATGTTATTAAAGAAAATGTGCCCTCTAGCAGGATTCGAACCTACATACGCCTTTGCAGGGGAAACCGTTGGTTAAATTGGCGTCGTCCCTCGTAAAATAACGACGGTTTCTCCTGCGAAGCGAGTGGCGCATGTTCAGATCCTGTCGAGGGTTCATTTTGTTTGATAAGATTTCTCGAATATTTAGGCCGATAGAGGAAAATAAATTATTGTTGTTTTAAAAAAATATATAAATAAACGGTGCGTTTATACAGATGTGGCTCTCCATTGAAAATAACATTTAAAGTGATATATATATATATATATATATATATATATATGAATTATGGGAATGCATTTTCAATGATTTTATTTGGCAAGTGTGACGTCGTCCCCTGCTCGCAGCGCCAACTGTGACGTTCTATCCTGATCTACCACGGCACCAGTTGTGACGTCCCCAAACAGCACCAATTGTGACGTCCTCGCCGCGGCGCCAGCTGTTCGCTCCTCGCTGCTCCGTTCGGGTGTCGCTGCTCCAAACGTGACGTCCGCCTGTCACGTCAGTCGTGTTGTCTCGTCCTGTGACGATCAACTGGCTTGGTATCGGTCGCGGCACCCAAATGTGACGTTCTAACATTTGGTGATTCGGGTGGGAATCTGGTTAGATTCGATATCAGCCTCGTCGTTCCCAACTCGCTTCCAACGCCTGGTTACCAAGGTAACTGCACTGATCTCCAGTCTGCCTACCCACGTTAATTGATCTTAGGCAGACGAGATCAATCAGTAGTCGGGGCCGTAATGCAAACTGAGTTCAACGGGGGTGATACCACACAAATATGCATAAAAGAAAATAAAATGAAAACTCAAAAAGTTCAAAGTATCAAAGAAAAAGGTAACAAACTTTATGTCTAGTTGTTCGATACATAGGACTGCATCTATCTCCCGACCCGTTCTGTGGATTGTGACACGTCGTTTTCCGTTAGGCAAGTTTTAACGCTTCAAGATGTTTGCTCTCTAAGAAATTGGTGTTTCGGTATGTCTTTGGACGAAAGTCGAAAAAAACTTATTTCGGTGGTCTGGATCTAAGTCGCTCTTCAAAATAATTGTTCTTGGGTTGAAGAGGAGTCCGGAATTTGCGTGAATCTTGGTCAGCTACCTGCGAGGCGGTTTCAACTGGAGACTGACTCTGGGAACTGAATTCCTGGAACTCCTGGAACTCAACTCTGGAACTGATTTCTGCTCGTAGGGGCTTCACTTTTATGGACGCCGACCAAAGCCGGAGTGGGTCTGTCGGCGTCGGGGGTTCCTCGATAATTCTAAATACATATCCATCCACCTCTTTATTTCTGGTTAGGGATTTTCCACTCTTTTCCATTTTTTGGGAACCTTTCCTGACTCCACCTTCTCACCATACTTCAGAGGGCGTGAACTGCCCTCCCCACTTCTTCGTAGCAGCTTCTCATACCTATACTCTTGATGAGGCGTCGACAGCCTCCTTCGTGCGTCACGTGATCACCACTCGACCAATGAAGTCTTAGTCGAGCGTGGACGAATCCGCGGCTTTGTTTCAGGAAGAAAAAAATATCTTGCTTAACTAAAAAAAATATCTCTTCTCTTTCCCTTTTCTTCCTCTTAATCGCCGTTATCATTTTTCTAGGGACAATATGACAATGGCGGTCATAACTCTTGTTCTACACGTGGTTTTTTTCAGGTATTTTATCGCTAATTATCAGAATGGGTGATCTTCTTAACACGGCCTCAAAAAAGAAACATCTCCAAAGTTTCAGTCAGTCTGTCGCCTCGAAGAAAGAAGAAAAAACACTTCTAGGTCCCCATTCATTTTCTTTCGGTACATATTTCTGATAACATAATTTTATTATCGCAGGCCAAAGATGTTCTGCGGCAAGAAAATCGGTCAGTGTAGTTACTTCGTGTGTGTCGCGATTAATTTTCCCATATCTATCCAAGGCCCTGTAGTTACACCTGTGTTTTGTCAATTATCAAAATTAACGTTTTCAATTGGACTTTTCTTTGGCGAACATTTCTTGATAACATAATTTTATTATCGCAGGCATAAGAGATGTTCTGCGGCAAGAAAATCGGTCAGTGTGGTTACTTCGTGTGTGTCGCGATTAATTTTTTCATATCTGTCCAAAGTCCCTTTTAGTTGCCTGTTTTTCGTCACTTATCGAAATAACATTTTCATTTGAATTTTTCTTTGGCCAGTCGACCAGCAGTTTGTTTACGTACCCCTAGATAACACAGCCGTTATCAAAACACATCTGATTCTTTCTTTCTTTCCCTTTTTTTTTACTCAGAATTTCCCTGTCATTGTAATGACACTCTTTCGCCATTTGTTACTTATCAATATATCCATTGTCTCTTAGCCGTGTGTGTGTTCTGCCTATCACCCACGATTCGTCTCGCCTTTCTTTCTGCCTTCTTTTCTTTCTTTTCCTTTTCTGCCTCGTAAATGGTGCCACAAAGTGTTGCAAAACAATTTACTATATTTTGAGAATCAAATATAACTTTTCAACTGCTAAGAATTAATGTGTCTGTTATTAGCAGAATGCAAATATTATTCTGAAATTATGCTAATGCTAGGCTTCCATAAATAGTAAATGAGTACCGTAATTCTGTTATATATAACAATTTTTTTTTTAAATCTTGTAGGCTTTTAGAAATCCTTCATCATCGTTCGTCAGTATAGGAATCTGATCGAACTTATATATTAACAGAATTTATCAATGTTCTGTCAGTTAGCTACCACACATGATACACGCTTAGGTGATCCATGACTGATTAGATGGACTATTTTACCGGTGGACTGGTTGACAACCAATGTCCACTCTGTCTTGCTATTCAACCCATAGCTGGAGGGAGAAAAGATGGATTCATGCCATTCCCAGGGGTATTTGCGCGTATTTGCAATGAACCCGATTGGAATTCGAACTTGGCTCTCTGATTTTCATTCCCTTCCGATATCAATTTACTCCATTACGCACATGCACAATCAAAACAAATGGTTATCAAAACCAATGGTTATCAAAACCAATGGTTATCTAACAACGTCAGACCTCCAACGAGTCGTAATGGGTTGATATTCATTCGTTGTCTTCTCACAAGAAGAAGGAAAAAAAGAACCCCTGTTTTGTAGCACTTCAATTACTTTGGATTAAAGAGTTTAAGAAATTACGTAATCTTTGCTGGATATTATTTTTGGAGTTTGTCATAATTTTATTCAATTTGCTTTTCCTTCTCACCGGTTAGGTTAGCAGTCGGTTTCAATATCGGTCTGAGATTATTGCTGTCTTCATACATCCGGGTTTTTGCACCAGATTAAATTATAGCACTTCCGGGCTCGATGGCCGTCCGATCAGTAGATCCGGTTAGCTGTCCACACTGATCGAAATTAAAGTGCAAGTTAAAAGACAGACAAGCAGATAGATAGATAGATAGATAGATATGAATAGACTGAGATAGATAGATAGATAGATATGAACAGACTGAGATAGATAGATAGATAGATAGATAGATAGATAGATAGATATGTGGACCGATTTAAACGATGTGAAGGAATAAATGGTAATATATAGTTAGATTCATATCGGATTGTCTACAGTGATACGAGGATATAGTCAAAGATAAGGCAATTAGTATTATAGGCTTTTACTATTTTAATGAATTCGATTTTCACTGGGCGATTTTCATCTGTGGCATTGTACCATATTAATTGAGTCAATAAATATACATAAGAGAATATACTTTTCAATATAAGTAATTAGCAAGCTTCATTGTTTATTATGTCTCTCTCGCTCTCTCTCTCTCGCTCTCTCTCTCTCTCTCTATATATATATATATATATATATATATAAAGATATGTTTAGTGGTACAAAATTTTATCACTGTCATAAACAGACAAAAATTATTTTTATTATTATCATTCATGATAATAAAAAGTAAAAATGAAAAACGGGCTAGCTAACCAGTTTCGCACCTCGCCCAACAGAGCTAAATCGAGGTAAATAAAGTAAATTATATAAAAAAAAGGACAATGGACAAAATGTATTGGGCGGGGAGAAAAATAATATTTAAATGGTAATTACTTGGAGGCTAATGCAATATATATATATATATATATATATATATATATATATATATATATATATATATATATATATATATATATATATCTGTGTGTATGTGTGTGAGGCATGCTAGAGTAATAGATTGTTACACCTGTTGAGGAACATACCCTCGGTATGAATACAGCTCTTCTCACACCAGTTATGGGTAAATAGTTGGACTGACTTTGAATTCAAAACTGCATGAGACCCTTTTGAAGCACATACTATGCAACAAAAGAAAGGATCGTTCGCAGTTACAGGATTTTGCCAACCACGGTCGAAAAAAATCCCCCAGCTATGGGTGAATAGCTGGAAAATGTCGGCTCTATAACCATTGGTGATGAACGGTCTAGGAGAAGTACAACTCTGAATTGAAAATCTCCGGTCGGTCATTTGTGAACCTTGTGGCATACTGTGAACCAATTCTCTGTATTCGGCTCATCCACGAGTTGGGGTTGGTTGTAAGCAAGCAATCATCACAATAATCAAATGATATGTGCGGTTAGTGTGCCTGCTGGTCCTAAGAACTCAGCTGCTTGACACTAATATGCCGTAAACATCAAAGTTCAATATATATATATATATATATATATATATATATATATATATATATATGATAAGCAAATATAAATGGATATAAATCCGACAGAATGAAGAAAATATCTGGAAAAACAAAAACAAAAATCCTTAAAATGCGATTATGTTTTTTAATATGAACATAACATTAACATAATCAGTATAACACGACGTCGACATTTCATTCATATTAAAACAACATAATCGCATTTTAAGGATTTTTGTTTTTGTTTTTCCAGATATTTTCTTCATTCTGTCGGATTTATATCCATTTATATTTGCTTATCATACTGTCCACTGGAAATACAAACCTGAATTCATTTTATTACATGGAGGACTGCATGCTTATCCGAAGATACAGGAATTTACTAGTCTCCGCATATTCCTACAAGAACAGAAAAGATTTTCTAACGAACTGTATATATGAAATATCTTTCCATCGGAATCAAATTTATAAAAGTTTTTAAGAATACGTTGTGAAAGCGTCGCCCATTTGACGACAACGTGACCACGCTCAAACGGAAAGCTGATCATTTAAAATTTTCATTTATCTGTTTTGGATAAGACTTGTTTTTATGTCCATCGTTTTTCGTCGTGTTATACTGATTATGTTAATTGTATTTTAATGAATATTGTCCTGAAGAAGGTTATTAAACCGAAACGTCAGACGTCGACATTTCATTCATATTAAAACAACATAATCGCATTTTAAGGATTTTTTTTTTGTTTTTCCAGATATTTTCTTCATATATATATATATATATATTTTTATATATATATATATGTGTGTGTGTGTGTGTAAATATATAAAATAGGAAAGAACACGTTAGGTTAATAATCCGATAAATATATTTCTAGTATTGTTAATTTTTTTACGTTTGGTGGGGTAAAGGAAAGTATAAATTGTCTGTCGTATCTATAGTCCCAAGCGGTTTCGGACACTCCTTTAGTCATTTTCAAGGGTTTCTTGCTAATTGTTGTTAATTTCTATTCACGGGTGTCTCTTGAGGTGTAAATGTGCGATGCATATATTTTTTCTTTCAATGTTATATATATATATATGACAATTTTCCCTCCCTAATCTATCTTACATATCTATAAATCTACCATTCATTCGTCCATGTTTAGAATATTTAGGTACATAGATAGATAGGGACGGATTGATTCATATATATATATATATATATATATATATATATATATATATATATAAAAGACATTTTTATTTATGTTTAACGTTGTTATTTTTATAGATAAGTAAATGCTCTGTTTATGATAAACAGTATTAAATATATTTACCGGCCTGAATGTCCGAGAAATTGCTTAAATACTTGTATCTATAAAATAACAACGTAAAAACATAAATAAAATATATAAATAAATTGTCGGACCTCGTCCATTTCTTATATATATATATATATTCCACGGAACGGAAATATATATATCTTATAATTATTTTTTAAAATATGTCTCCATCGCGACACAAAAATTACTATGTTTAGAAACCGAAACTCAAGCCCTAACATTCAATTTCAAAATTAAACGCCTGACGATTGCATCTAGCATGAAACAGGCTGTCACCTCTAAGTGTTGACTTCTATGTTCACTTTTATATTTACACACGCTCTATCTTTGATATTGAGCATAATATTCCAAAAATATAGCACATCTTAACACTATATTTCTTCATATATATATATATATATATATATATATATATATATATATATATATATATAAATTATGCTTTATTATATATATATATATATATATATATATATATATATATATATATATGTTAACAGATATGAGTAACCTTTGTTAGATTGACTAATTTAAAAATCAATAAACAGATACTCTGGAAGATATTAACTCTTGTAAACCTGTCTCCGTACTAATAGATCAATTTATAACCAATATACCTTTCCGTATGAACCTCTGCCTGACCCGTTTTCAATAGGCCTTCCTTCTCTTTTCTCTTGATCAACCCTTGCCTTGAGGGAAAGCAAAGTTGCATGACCTGAGGCGAAGAAACGCCATTCTGTTTACCTCAAAATTGCCATTCCTGGCTAATAAACTTCGGGGAAACAAGTGGTCGGTGAATTTCTGCTTCGCTTTCGCCTTTCTTAATATTTGAAATGAATCAGGCGAAGAAGAAGCGACGAGATCTTCGGAAGGGATTGCGAAAGCAATATGAAATTAGACTGTCTAATCATTAATTTGATCGTTTCGACCACTTTAAGGCCAACAAGTAAACTTGGATATTTTCCCTGCTGAATTTCTGAGATGAGATATGATTACTTTATTTACAAATAGACTTGATTTAAAACTAAATAATTCAGGGAACTGAACAATTGAAAATTATACTTACCAAATGATATTAAACTATTTTCTATTCACGTTCTTAAATTTTTCAGTGTCGTCCTTTTAAAAAGATAAAAAAAAAAAATTATAAACAAATAGAATTAAATTATTTTGAACAGTAGGGCCGCTGAGACATTCCTTTTGATAAACGATAGATCACCGGAGCGTCCATAATAAACAAGCGTGCATTTTGAAAGAAATGTTATGTATGCAACGGGCTGCAAATGGATAATTATTTGTTCATATTTAAATAAATTTTATTTATAATTGTTGTGATGTCTTCCCTCAAATGAGGCTGTTATGGACTCTTCCACTTACTATAAAGTCAGTAAGAAAAGTAGACCTCGGGGGAACAGTGATATAGCCTGTTCAACTGTCAAACTGTCTGCGTTGATAAGAGAGCAACCCGGACGGGGCTTTACCGAAGGCTTTTCGTCCGGGGTGGTAGACAGACCCTGAATCCGCTTATGCAGGTTCTAAGGGATATATCTTTGGTCGAGCCTACGGGCTCGGAGAACCCACGCAAACTCGGCCTTGTGTCACATACATCTCTCGTGGTGGGGATGTTAAATAATATCAGTATCATAGCCTGTTCATTACTGTCAAACTCTCTGCCTTGAGTAGTGAGGAACCCGGACGAGTTTTTGCCGAAGGGTAAAGTTTCATCCGGGGAGGTAGACAGACCCTGAATCCACTTATGCGGGTTCTAAGGGAAAGTTTTTGGCTAAGCCTACGAGCTCGGAAAACCCACGGTGAAATCGGCCTTGCGCCACATACACCCTCGTGGGGGGGCTGTAAAATATTGACAGAGATATAGACTGAACACTGGTCAACCGACACACACTCCCATTGTCATGTAACACACTTCTGTTGTATTTACTGTTCATTGCACTATTTATCTGCAACCACTTCTTTTGTTATTCCTTAACCAATTACTTCGTCACAACAATAGTATACAGGGTGTTCCCACAAAATTGAGATAATTTAAAATGCGAATATCTCAGTAATTACATCTCCAAGCAAACGAAATTAAATAGTCGTTATGTTGAACAATGAAATAGTTATTTACATGAATGTAGGCTTTATAACCGATTTCCCAAATCTTTACAAATGTTTAATATGCGCACCACCTGTGACAGGACACGCGTCAAGTTGGTAGTCCAGCTCCTGCCAAACACGCAGTAGCATGTCTTGCGTAAGATTCTCCAGCGCTTCAGTTATTCTCAGCTTAAGTTCCTCTAGGCTTGTAGAAAGAGGGGGGTGTAGCCCTGTCCTTTCACATAGACCGAAAGAAAAATATCCCACGGTGTCAAGTCAGATAAACAGCATTTCAACAGCACATTATCATTATCACTAGGACGCCCAATTAATATTCCTGGGAGATTCTCATTGAGATAAGTCCCCACTGAGGCGCTGGGGAATGTTTTGGAAGACATGCTACAGTGTGTATGGCAGAATCTGGACTACCGACTTAAAATGTATTGTCTCACAGTTAGTGCGCATATTAAACATTTGAGAAGCTTTTTGAAATCGTTCATAAAATCTACAT